CACACACACACGAATTTTTGTGTAGTAGTCTCACAAGATTATTAATGGAATCTTAATTTTCCCCTAAATGAATATTTCATGTATATTATATTGTAATATGAAACTAATTTTCATTTTTATGACATGTAAAATTAATATTCACCAAATTTAAGTATGAATATTTTATGCATTATATGTATATATGAATATTTGGTGAAGGTTGATTATAAGAGCTACCTAACTTGGGTGTTCAAAAGTACATTTTAAAAAAGTTTATTTTTCTGGTTTTGCTAATTACTTCTTATTTTATATAGCTTTTCCCTTTCCCCAACTTACTACGGATCTGTTCTCAGACTTAACACTTTCCCTTCCCTCTCATCCTGGGTAACCATCAAAGGCTATTTTATTTTGTTCTACCGTTTTTCTTGGCTTTTTTTATAATAGTGGTCACAGCATATTTGCTCTTTTGTTTTTGGCTTAAGTTGCTGAGAATAATGTCCTCTAGATACATACATCCACGTTACGCAGTATTTCACGAATTCTCTATTGTATGTCTGTAGCTTGTAGTTCACGGGTTGATGAGCACTTAGGTTGCTTCCACCTCTCTTCTAGTGGAAATTACGCTACAAAGACCATGGCTGTGCTTTTCAGGACACTTGAGGAGAAGACTGTATGCCAAAGACTTAGTCAAGCTGAACTTCACTGTTGTTGTTAGCTTCCAGTTGAGTATGACTCACAGCAACTCTGTAAACAACAGATCTGAACCCTGTCCTGTCCGTGCCATCCTCACAACCTCTGACACCCTCAGGCTCATTGCTCAGTCACTGTGTCAGTCTACCTGGTTGAGAATCATCCCCTCTTCTGCAGACTCTCCACCTTTCCAAGCACGATGTCCCTCTCCCAAGAATAGCCTCTCTTAGCAACATGCCCGAAATACATGAGGAAAAAGTTTGTCTTCTTTGCCTCCAAAGCTGTACCTTCTCCAAGGCATATCTGTTTGTTCTTTTGGCAGTCCATGAAATCTTCAGTGCTCTTGTCCCCACACCACAGCTCAAAGGCATCAATTCTGTCATCCTGATTCATTGTCCAGCTCTCAGATGCATAGCAAGTGACTGAAAAGTCCATGGCCTGAATCAGACGCACCTTAATCCTCAAGTTTCATTAGGTATAATTAATAAAATAGAGTCTCTCCAGCTAACTTAATCAAGAAAGATGGGAATAAACACAGATAGATATATCTGTCAAGTGTAAAAGGGGGGTAATACTGAAATGGAAATTTAAAATAAAAAAGGGACTAGATAAAATAATTTCTTAGGAAAACACAATTTTACCAAAAGTTGCCCACCTTAAGAGGTAGATAGTTAAATAAACCAAATTCTGTGGAAAAACACCCTGCCATTTAATAAAATATGAGTACAAAGCCTAGGTAGTTTCTAGGGAAAATCTGTGGAACCTTCAGAGACTCGGTCGTCTAAGAGCTATTATGTATGTTCTCCCAGAGCCTCAAAAAGTGGAGAACAAACTAACTCTGCAGCATGCAACGTCTAAATTCTTATTCCTAGTACACAACGGCTGCTGTCACATGCTTTTGAGTTGGAATCGACCATAGTTGACCGTCCAGCAGGTTTTCAGAGGCAGTAAATCGCATTGGAGGAGATTGCCCATCTTTCTCTTGTGAAACAGCTAATGGGTTCTAGCTAAGTGCCTTTGGGTTAACAGTACGACTCCTTATCCTCCAGGCCACCAGAGCCCCCTACACTGTGGCCGAGTGCGGTTTATTCTAGAAATGCAAGGCTGCCTCAGCAATAGAAAATTGAATGATAAACTTAAGGAAGAAAAATAATCTGATTGTCTCCACACGTTCTGGGAAAGGTCTGTAAGAAAATACAGCACCCATTTTTGACAGAAACACTTTTGAAAATCAGAATTAATGGGTAATTTCTTGACGTGATATGTATTTTGTTGTCTTGTCCCATTGAGTCGGAACCGACCTGTAGCTGACCCTCCAGCGGGTTTTCAGAGGCGGTTCATCGCACTGGAGATTGTCCATCCTTCTTTCTTGGAGCACCTCGTGGCCTTGAACCACATGACTTTGGGATTGCAGCACAGCTTGTTACCACTAGGCCACCAGAGCTCCCTGAATTTAGAATAAATGATATAACCATTCTGGAATACTGTTAGGCATTTCCTGAAAAAGCTGAATGTAGAAATTTCATCTGTTGAAGCTATTGCACTGTTAAATACAGCCCAAGGAAATCAGAACTGAGACATGAATGGAGATATGTACCTATGTTCAGAGTAGCGTTATTCACAGTAGCAAGAATATAACAGCCCAAATTCCCTTCAACAGATGGATTTAGAAAATATGATATATTCACACAATGATTTTGTGTAATACTATATAATATAGAGAGTCTAGACAGCATTATGCTGAGTGAACTACCTCAGTGCCATAAGGGCAAAAAAATACACAAGACCATTATTGTAAAAATAGAAGGATAACTAGTAAGATGTGTATAAATGTCCAAAAGGGGGAGGGGAATGGAGAAGGGAGTCACAAAAGGAGGAAGGGTGGAAACCATTGAGAGAGCAGAGTGAACCTATTGGGGATAGAGGAGGGAATGGGAAAGATCCAGTGGGGATTTGAAAAGGCAGTATAAGAGAGCTCTGGTGGCCTAGTGGCAAGAAGCTGCACTGCAATCCCAGAGGTGCATGGTTCAAATTCACCAGATAACTCCTGGAGAAGGAGGGAGACTCTCCTTCTGTACTACTCAGATCTGATTTGATGGTACATGCACGAAAAATAATAAAAATGTTAAAAAAAAAAGAATCTTTGAAAAGACAGTGTAATAATAGGCACAGATCAAAGGTATTGAATGTTATGGGTTACAGTGTATATATGAATGATTGATTATACGAAACAGTGTAAATAAGAGATTATATGGAACATAACGTATATGAATAAAACACAATGTAAATGAATTATTGTATGAAAACTAATAAAAATCATTAAAAGACAGTTAATATATGCTTTTCAAAAGCCTGCCTCTCATGTACTAGAGAAACAGTCGAGGTAGTGAAAGTGAACCCAGGAAGAGGTCAAGGGCAACACTGACTCCTCCACTGCGTGAAGCTGTGAGCTAACCGGCCAGCTGTCTCGGTGCTCAGAGGCGGTGCGGTGGTGGTGCTGGCGTGCTCCAGTGTGATACGTGACGTTCTGTCATGCAGTTGCCTCTTGTACTTGGCTTTGTCATTCTGAACTCAGAAGTACATTTATCCCTGCAGGTTGTAGATGAGCGAGAATTTTTCGAGATCATGCCCAATTATGCCAAGAACATCATTGTTGGTTTTGCAAGGATGAATGGAAGAACTGTTGGGATTGTTGGCAACCAGCCCAAGGTGGCCTCAGGTAGGAGGGTTTGTGGGGTGGTGGCATGGGGCTGCCAGGGGGGGCCGTGGGGTGTGTCTTTTGTCACTTACTTAGAAATAGCCTTGCATGGCCAGACAAAAACTGGAAATAGATGTTGTAAAAGTCCTTCTCTTTTTCAAATGTTAATGGTTCACAATGGATCTTCCACATTTCCCAATTATTTAAGGGCTTGTAGTTAATGTTCTTTAGCTTAACAAGGTCTTTACTGTTTTAGAATCTGTCCTTTGGGCCCTCCCACCATGTTCATGACACAGACACTAACATACCCAGCTATTCTGAGCACTTTGAGGGCAGGAATGTCATGGTCTTGTTCACATTGGGGCTCCAGTGTCTTCCAGAATGCCCCATACAGAGCTGATGCTCAGGAAATAGTGTTGAATTAATGACTCTCTCTGACAACTGTTAAGTGGATTCTGACTCATAACCACCCTCTATTTGCGAGCTCTGGTGGCCTAGTGGTAAGAAGCTGCGCTGCAATCCCAAAGGCACACGGTTTTTAAAAAATTCTTATCTATTTTGTTTTATAACGTCATTGTTGCTATGTGGCATCAAGTCACCTGTGACTTATAGTGAACCTTATGCACAATAGCTCTGAACCCTGATCTGTCTTGAGACAATCTCACTGACTCCGACCTACCTACCCCATCAACCCCGTTGCGTGTCAATCCGTTTCATCCAGGGTCTTCCTCTCCTCAGCTGATACTCCACCCTTCCAAGCATGAGGTTCTTCTCCAAGGACTGGTCTTTCCTGGCCACGTGCCCAAAGTATGTGAGAAGGGTTTTTAAAAACCATTGTCTCCAAGCAGTGGACTAGTTTCACCCTCTCCAGGATGTACCTGTTTATTCTCTTAGCAGTCCATGGCATATTCAGTACTCTTCTTCAGCAACCCAACTCAAAGGCATCAGTTCTTCTTCTGCCTGCCTTTGTCATTGTCCAGCTCTCTCATACATAGCAAGTAATTGCCAAGACCATGGTTTAGATGAGACGCTCCTTAGTCTCTACACTGACATCATTGTTCCTCAGCACGCTGGAGAGGTCCCTGACAGCAGACCTCTTGACACCACCAGTCAGGAAATCCAAAGATGCACTGCACTGGGAAAGTCTGCTGCAATGCATCTTTTGATTTCCTGACTGCTGGTGTCAAGAGTGTTGACTGTGAATCTGAGCAAGCTGTAATTGTTAACAACCTCAGTCTCTTTTCTTTGTGTCATGTTGCTGCCAATCGGCCCATTAGTGAGAATCTTTGTTTTCTTAATGTTGAGATGCAATACATTTTGAAGACTCTAGTCCTTGACCTTCTGTAGCAGTGACTTCAGGTCCTCAGCTTCACCAAGCAAGGTTGTGTCATTTGCAGAATGCAGGTTGTTGATAAGTCTTCCTCCAGTTTGGTTTTTTTTTTAAATTTTTTTTATTGTTAATTTCAAGGAAAATTTACAGACTTTGGATTTCCATTCATTCATTGTTGCACTTTTCTCCCTGCCCACCCCTCCCCCCTAGTACACTCCCCTCTTTGAAAAGTAAAAGGAAAATTCTTTCATTGTTTTACA